CCCCCTACGAATGAGTTTTTCTGAAGGGTGACTCAAAAAGTCGTTTCTGAGGGGTTAAGCCTGTCAGCATCCTTTGATCTCTGCGATTTTTCTGAGGGGTAAGGGGAAAATTTACAAATTTCTGAGGGGTGTTTTGTGTCGGCACTTTGATCTTTTTTTCTTAGGGGTTAAAATTTTATTGACCTCATCCGTAGGGGGGGGGATTTTAAATGGAATGGCCCTTAGAGTATAAGTGGGTAGTAGCCAGACAACTACACACCAGAAAAAGTTCCGACTTTACTTTGGTCCGCCAGCAATTTAGCCAAAACTCACGCCGAATTAAATAATATGAAGTTCCACACTGGTCACTGTGAAATTATACAAACACGCAAACAAGTAGATCTTTAAACAAAGTAAATGTACTCACCTAAACACACTTTACAAAAATTATGAAAGCAAGGCAAGCTTCTTGGATCATTCAAAGGTTCCAAACACATTGTACATGTAAGTAGATCTTTGATCTCGTCAACAGGAACACTGTCTGATGAAGCACTTGCCATTTCAATAAAAACTTTCTCACTTCCCAGTTAATTTAGATAACAAATTTGTGCCTTCTTTCCAAAGAAATATTGCCAATATAAATATCTTGGTAGAAATGCTGGCAAAGTGATCGCTAACATCGCTTTGCCTTCGTTTCGAATTGCGAAATTCTCGCCTTCTCGGAAGTGTTGTTCTTGGAATGCTCGATTTGCCAGCGCCCGCCTGTGACTTAAAATCACAGGCGGGCGCGGGCAAATCGAGCCTGGGCCTCTGTGGTTTAGGCAGAGGGCAGTGACCTCAATACAATCTACGACAGTTTACGATCTACGACGTGGCCATTTTAAAATGTCTTTCATAGATCGACGCGCTTTCAAAACAAACAAATTTGTCATGCAAGACAAAAACTGTGAATAACTCGTGGTCCCAGGGGTATTCTCAACGGCGTTGTCATGCTCAGCACAACGTTAAACTAAGCATTATCACGTCTTTTAAGCAACGTGAAAGCCAGGGGCGGACATATCGATTTTGACTGGGAGGGTGTAATCACGAAATGAGACCGACCCACCACTGAAATGTGAATCCAGACCGACTCTTGGTGAGTTGGTGTGTTGCAATAAAATTGAGTACAAAGTATGGAAATTGAATAATTGATGGCATTTATTAGGAATTTTGCAAGAACACGTACAGTTTGCTGTGAAACGTTATATTTTTATTAAGTGTCCGCGCTTAGTCAGGTTTGACCACGGATTAGCGATTTCGTCAAGATCGATCGTGTCTGTTAGATCGCGCTCACACGCAACAGTCAA